GCGCTCATCATCAATGCCGAAATCCGATTCTTCAAGAAAATCGGTAACTTCATCTCCTCCTCTTCTTTCATTATGTTTATCTCTTACAAAATATTATGTTTTCCTTTAATTCGCTGCTATTTATTCGAATCAGGTAAAAAAAGAGAAAGAACCGCTTGAAAATCAACCAGAGCCCGATTTGAGCAGTGATTCTGATGTAGACGAGGATTCCATTTGGAGTGATGCCGTCGGTTCGTCAGATATTGATGGGGTATGTCAAGATCCTCTGTACTCTTTTGTATTTCCAAAGATAGTTTCTTTTTATTTATTTAATATGTAGTTTTTGCTTTTATAGTGTTTTATTTTTAATGTAGGATTCCTCTGGAACTAGTGAAAATGATGTTGGTGGTAACGGAGAAATGGATTCACCAGATGATGGCAGGAATTTCTCTGAAGATGAGGTACCTATTTTGGTGTTTGTATTTGTTTGGTTTTTTTGGTCATTCTTCATACTATCAAACTGTACATAACAAAGTTTAGAGTACTAAACTTCCATACCACAATGCTTTTAGAAACGCAGGATGTATATTAAACCTCTTGGACCATTCTTTATTTTCGAATTATCAGCCATCCTTTTTATCCCGCTGAATTGGATTTTCAGACCAAAAAAATAAAAAAAAATCAACCTGCCCCAGTAAAACTTCTAAAATGCTGATCTTTTGAACTGCGCAATTGCTCCTTTGCCTCTCCATCTTCTAATAGCCCACTGTATCAATTTGTCTCATATCCAAGGAACATAACTATCATGTACATAGGCAGAGGTAACATTCCACAAGTTTCTAGTAATCTTACATTCAAAAAACAAATGCTCCCTTGTTTCATCTGTACTCCCACATAAAGGGCAGCAAGTATCTAGATACTTCCTCCTATTTCTAAGGAAACTTTTGGTCTGAATCTTATTATGACAAGCCATCCACATAATTATAACTTGTTTGGGTAAACTCATAATCATATCACTTCAGGCTAATCTCTTCCGAAAAAAAGAGAGGTGGGATTTAAAAACCTCGAAAGAAGCTTAGGAACTGAAAGCAGGCTTTGGATCCTTCCATCTAACTTCACCCCCATCATGATCAATCATTATATCCGCATGTTGCCTTAATTTGAGTATTTTCCTGAAACATCATAGCTTTATTTGCAATCTCAGCAGTATGGCAACTCTCCTTCACTGAATTGTATGCTTTCAAGAATTCTACTTCGCTCCAACTGAGAGTTACCACCAAAAAAGATTTGACTCTTCATCATATTAGCAACAAGCCCAGAAGAACTAAAGAACTTATAAAACATTCAACCAACCTTGTTGCTGAGGAGAATTCACCTTTACATAATATAAACAAGTTATCTGCATATGTGAAATGGGTGAACTTGCACTTCTGACATTGAAATCAGGGATATTTTCCAATTGAGCCAAACATCTTGTAAGATACTCCATAGCTAAGGTAAATAACAAAGGGTTCCCCTTGCCAAATCCCTTTTTTTCCGGGAAAGTAGTCACATAACTCTCCATTACAACAATAGAATAATGCATCCTCCTAACACTTACCATTATCCTTTCAATATATCTGTCAGGAACACCATCACCTTTCAAAATAGCTTGTAAAAAGTCTCAATTTAGAGAGCCATCAGCTTTCTTTATAGCTACTTTCTATTATAAGAAGATACAAGTTTTTACTGGTTTTCAAAAGTTTATTAAATTTCACGAAGTTGTGGATAAATCACTTGTTAACAGTTTTGAGGACTGTTTGCCTAGTACAATGACTTCATTTTGCTTATAGGGTTCCCTTGAACATACTAGAGAAGACAGGAAAGATGGAAATGACACACTTCAGTCAGTTGAAGAGAGCGACTCCTCAGAAGATGAGGTACCTTTTATTAACTTGTTACTTTTTTCCACCTAGAGGGTTAAGTTTTTCTGAATTGTGTATCTTTGAACTTGTAGGTGGCGCCTAGAAATACTATTGGTGAAGTTCCACTTGAGTGGTATAAGGAAGAGGAGCATATAGGATACGATATAAGTGGGAAGAAGATCAAGAAACATGCCAGAAAGGACAAGATCGATTCTTTTCTGGCTGGAGTGGATGATTCCAAGAACTGGTGAGCTGTCATCTGCTGTTGAAGTTATTCTTACATATTCGTTTATATTGAAGCTGATTCTTAAAACTACACATAACGTTATTTATACAAATTACAAAGCGAACAGATCGGTTGACATTTCACATTAAGTTTATTTGAAGCCTCCATTCTTAAAATGGCTACCTATGACTATTCACACAAAGCAAATAGATTCATTTATGTCGAAGCTGATTCTTAAAAACTACAAGTAGATTCATTTATGTTGAAGCTGATTCTTAAGAACTACATCTAACTGTTCACGACTCCATGTTAAAATTAAGTTATGCTTTTCTTATTGAAAGCTCCATTTCGCATAAATTTTTTTATCTACATATAAAGGGAAGAAGTAAAAACATTCCATGCTACCCATGTTTCTAACACAATCCTCTCGGGCTTCCTACAAGCCTAAGGGACTGTTTACATTAATGAGTAAACCCATTTCCTTCTCCATGCTTCCTGCTGCATCAAAAATTTAAGTTTTGCATGTGGCTGGAGGGGGTGGGGGCAAGCAGTATAGGCCTATAGGGAAAACTTTGAGCTAGGGTACAACTATGATGCACGGATACGGATACGGGACACGGATACGACACGAACACAGATATGGGATACGGCAAAATCCAAAAAAATAGAATACGGGGATACGGCAACGATTTTTTTAAAAAAATATTATTATATATAGAAAAATTTATAAAATTCAACTAACAATCTAAAATATGAATCTATCACAAAATAAAAGTTTGTAAACAAAAAGTACCTCAAGATGAAGTGGAAGCTGAGAGATTGAGAGAGAGGGTTAGAGTTAGGGTTTTTTCTTATTTTCTTTCGTTTGAGTCAGCTGAGGATTGAATCGAACGGGAGATTTGAGAAATAGGGATGGGTTTTTTAATCGAACGGTTCGGGTTGGATTTTAACAACCAAACCCGTAACCCAAATGAATCGGCCTTCGGCGAATTTGAGCCGTGTCCGAGCTCCTTTGACCGTGTCCGAGCCTAATTTGACCGGACCCGTGTCGGACATGGATTGACCGTGTCCGACACGTGTCATGCATGTGTCGTGATGAATCCGTGTCCGATTCGAGTCGGACACGGATTCGTGGCCTCCGGGGGCGAATCCGTGCTTCAGAGGGGTACAATATATGCTGGAATTTTTTCCCCTGCAGAATGAAGAATCTACATGACTCATTCAGCATACCCTTGTAAATTATCTCATAGGATATTGCAATTAGTTTGGAGACATTTGATTTCTCATTATATCCATTGTTCTATTAGTTACTTGCTCTTCTACATCCATATGCTGTTATCTGGAATTATGCCCTTTGTTTCCTGCTGCTCTAGAGCTTGGATTTATAAAAATTATCATCATAGATCCTGTATAATCCGTCAGTTTGTTTCCAATATAGCCACATTCAAGTTTAAAGACAAGCTCCCAGGACAATTTGCGGATTTGCTTGTTTATTGCGTAATGATTATGCTATTATTAATTTCTTTGGATTTGCATCTGTACAACTTCCTGATAATGACTGGGTTTCTGGTAATACCTTGGTGTAGATCTCTTGTTAATGCTTGAATTTAAATTTCCCTTGACCCGGGTTCCTTCTAGAAATAAATTTAACTATTTAACATCTACTTATAGTTCTTGTTTTCCTGGAAAATTCTTGAGTGGACATGATATACGTGATCCTGGAAATTATATTGTATTATTTTTATATCAAATACTGAAATCTTTGGCTGTTAATATCTCCAACTGTTTACAGTCTGAAGACGTATCAAAATTTGTTACTATTTAATGCCTATATTAATTTCTTTTCTATTCCATCCTTTTTTCTCAGTAGGAAAATTTATGATGAATATAATGATGAAGAGGTTGAGTTGACAAAGAAAGAGACTAAGCTCATTCGCAGATTGCTAAAGGGAAAGACACCCCATGCAGAAGTTGATCCACATACGGTTTGTAATTTATTCCTATGTTAAGCTTGCAATGCAGCAGCATGTATTTACCAGTATTCATGTTTTCACAAACTGAGGTCGTGTCTAATTTATTAACATGCCATATATTTCTTTCTGGCAGCCTTATGTTGATTGGTTTGAGTGGGAGGATAAGGGACACCCACTTTCAAATGCACCAGAACCAAAAAGGCGCTTTGTTCTATCCAAGTGGGAGCAGAAAACGGTATATATGCAACTGCATATTTGTCTTGCTATTTTTCATTTATCGAGAAGTCATTGTGAATCTAGAATCCTGGATAGAAGTCATGGGATGTTTAGGATTAGACTTTGGCTCTTAAACTGGTTCCACACTTTTTTAGTCAAAGGTATACTTTATTATGCTGATTTTCATTTGATACCAGTTACTGCATTAGTTCATTTTACCATTGAGACCGTGTCTGCAAGAAACTCAATCCAACAGTTAGGGCTCCTGATTGATCACAAAAGGCATTCCTTAGAAGCCATATCTGTCAATATTAGTTGTCTATACTTGACGTACACGTCTCAAATTCTAGTCAGGTATCCTTTAGTAGTCCATATTTGCCATTGTTTCTTGTTTCAGTTGCCATACACCTCCAAATTTTATCAAATTCTAGTGAGGTATTTACTACCTTTATACTGGTCTAGGCTCTGTGACATACACTCACCAAATACATTGCTATATTTTATATACATTCCCATGGTTGTTATAGATACAAAAGTTTTTATTCACATGTACCTTTTGACAGCTGAGTAATTACTTTTCCTTCTGATTCACTGGTAATCTGAAAGTACCAGGAAGTAGAATTCCTGTGCTGTCCATTGTGCACTTCTATTTATTAAAATGTTATATCTTAGCTTTTCGATTAGTTAGTTTATGTGACTGTCAGTTACTATTTTGAGCCAGGGAACAACGCTGATATTTTGTTGAAAAAATGAAATAGATTATTTATTATCTCTTCTGGTTTTGAGAAACTCTATTAAACTCCTACTTCTGCTTGAATGTTCTTGTTGCAGGTTGCTAGGTTGGTTAGAGCCATTCGCAAGGGTTGGATTAAGTTCGATAAACCAAAGGAGGAGCCTCAATTTTATTTATTATGGGGAGATGATTCTAATGCAGCAGAAAACAAGAGGCAGGGATTAAGTTATATTCCTGCACCTAAACCTAAATTGCCTGGTAAACCATTTGTGTTGCTTACAGAATGAATGAAAATTTCACGTTGTGTTTGGAAATAGTTTAGCTAACTGCTCTTTTGATGTTCAAAGTTCATGTTGGAAGCACCTTGTTGAGTTAGATTTCACTTTCAGGCCATGAAGAATCATACAATCCATCTGTAGAATATATCCCTACCCAAGAAGAAATTAACTCTTACCAGCTGATGTATGAGGAAGACCGTCCTAAGTTTATCCCGAGAAGGTATTTATTGCATCTGTTGTCTTGTATTCATCAGTTTCTTTGTTAATTCTATGACAGTTCATCTTGATATTAATTATTCATAATTTTAGGTTCGAGTCCCTTAGAAGTGTACCTGCCTATGAGAAAGCTGTTAAGGAAGAATTTGATCGTTGTTTAGACCTTTATCTATGCCCTAGGGCTCGGAAGAAACGTGTAAGTTGAAGATGCTGTATATATCTAAAAAGCCTTGCAATTTATTTCCTGAATCACTCATACTTGTTTACTATATTCTTATGCATGACTTTGATCATATTTGGATTTTTCTCAACAGCATCGTATATGCTATAGAACTTTCATTGTTTTATTTAAAAATCATTTATTTGTAGTATGACTAGTATTTTAGGAATTTTAAGAACTAAATTTGGCCCCATTTTCATAGATCAACATTGACCCTGAGTCTCTTAAGCCCAAGCTACCTAGTAAGAAGGATTTGAAGCCTTATCCCTCAACATGCTATCTTGAGTATAGAGGTCACAGTGGACCTGTCAAATCTATATCAGTTGAAATATCAGGGCAATGGATGGCATCTGGTTGGTTCTGATCTTTTTTCTTTTCTTGTTTTCTATTGCTACTTATTGAGACACAATAGTATTCTTATTTATCAAATATAGTTAATTCCAGAATTCTGACATAATTGTTCAAAGGTTCAACTGATGGAACGGTGCGTGTTTGGGAGGTTGAGACCGGTCGTTGCCTCAGAGTCTGGAATGTGGGTGAAGCTGTTGAACACGTTGCATGGAATCCTTTGCCTGAGCTTCCCATGTTAGCAGTTTCTGCGTAAGCTAGCTTTCCAAACAGTTTTTTGACGGTTTTTGTGTAATTAGTTTTTGAGTGTTTCACGATGTTAAATATTTCTAATTTTTTGTCTGATCTTACTCTGAAGGGGGTATGACGTGATTCTGCTGAACACTGGACTTGGAGATGCAGAAGACAATATGAGGATAAAAGAGCTCCTACGTGTTCGTGATTCTGCTGAACACTGGACTTGGAGATGCAGAAGACAATATGAGGATAAAAGAGCTCCTACGTGTTGAGGAATCGCCATTAACTAATGATGACGGTTGCAGAAGACAATATGAGGATAAAAGAGCTCCTACGTGTTGAGGAATCGCCATTAACTAATGATGACGGTAGATTTTTTATTATTTTACCTTTGTGAACTTCAATTTTTACCAATTATTTTTTATCTCATTAAATACATTTCACAGGAAATAAAACCTCTGCTGTGAGTTGGCTCCAACATACCAAGCTTGATGGCATCAGGTTGCAACACTTTAAGGTAACATGTTACATCTTCACTTGCATTCTCTAAAATATTGCATTGTTTGCTTATTTCTTCTTGGGTTTGACATTAATTCTATATCTGTCTCCAACTTATGCTACTTCTTTCTATGCAGGCTGTATCAACAATTGAGTGGCATCGCAAAGGAGACTATTTCACTACAGTTGTTCCTAGTGATATCCTAGAGATAATATTTGATTTTGCTTACCTCCAATATTAAGCTCTTTCAACACTAATCTTTTTTTCTTGAATTTTGGCATAATTATCATTACTCAATATTTTAAGTGGCTCCTGCCTTTGCGTGTCTTATGAAAGCCTTAAAACTCTTCTGAGTTGGATATGGTTTCATTCTTCTAAAACCATATAATATAATATTTAAAACCAGTTGAAATTTGAAGCATATAAAAATTAGTGATATATACCATACACAACAAAACGAAGTAGTAAACTGGTGAGAAAAATTTTGCTATCGCAGAAGACTGTTTGTTTGTGTGAGGAAATTAACACCGGTAATATGTTGCTTTGCTGTAGACATTAGCATTATTTATTTCATGAGTAATGTAAGATGGATGTAGCACTTGCGATGTCTTGTTTTAATTTTTATGAGTGAATATAATATCTAAAGTAACCTCGGCATCATGCCAAGACTTTATTCTTAATATATTGTATAAGACTTAACTGTTCATCTATGAAACAATATAACGCTAAAAATGATTGGAACAAGAGTTAGTCCACTTAATACTGATGAAACAGCTTTTCCCTTAAGTTCCTGGTATCACTATTCACCATCATCTGAAATAAATAGCGAGTACGCCGAGTAGTCTACTAGAACATGTTTATTTTTATATAGAGCTATTTTGTTGGACTTACAGAAAACTGGTACTAATTTTTCTGGTACTTATGAGGTAAAGGTTCATTGTTTGAATCATATTTGGAGCGTGCAGTCTGTTTATTCTTTCATATTCAGTATATTACTGATCGATATCTCAAGTGTGAGCCTTGACCTATAATGCACGTGATTCTAGAGCAATATTATTACATCAACTCTCCAAGAAGCATAGCCAAAATTCTATCAAGAAGTTACATGGGCTTCCGGTTTCATCTGTCTTCCATCCAGTGCGTCCCATTTTCTTTGTTGCAACTAAGAAAAATATTCGTGTTTATGATCTTCTGAAGGCAAAGCTCTTTAAGAAGCTTGAAACAAAGCTTCGGGAGATTTCATCCATTGCTATCCATCCTGGGGGTAAAGTGTTATTTATTATGCTCAAATATATTGAACTGCAAAGTTACAAAAGTAATTCGGGCAAGATCATGGCAGTTGTCTCATTGTTAATCTCATAATAATGGTCATTCACTAAAAAAAGTTCTTGCTTACAGGTGACAATGTAATTGTGGGGAGCAAGGAAGGAAAAATGTGCTGGTTTGATATGGACCTTTCATCTCAACCATACAAAACTCTGAAGTATGTCAATAGATACTGTTCTAACTTTTAGTTATTTTCACAAAATTTTGGCAGCCTCTCCCAATTTATTCCCTATCATTCAAAGGCTAGGTATTCCTACACTGAGAGTTGAACTTGGGATCTTCAACATTGAACCTTCTGAATTGACAGGAGGTGTCGGGCAATGGTCCTCTTGCTTTTGGGATCTTCTTTTGTTAGCTCAGTTCTTTAATGAACATATTATCAATATCATATTTATCAATCTAGAATCTTACTGTTTGTAGTTTGTAATCATGATTCCTTTTTATTTAGATTTGTTTGGGTACCAACATATGCTTGTGCATCCATATGCCAAAAATCATTTCAAGGTTGCATTTTGGTGGTACCTACTCTATATATTAACAGTTGGGATATTTATACCCTTACAAAGTGCACAAAAATACCTTTAAGTATGCATCTGCCATGTTTAGGCCTACACTTACTGTTTTAATATAACGTCGTGTTTGATATGTGAGAATTGAGTGAAGTGAGAATGAAATGAAACAGGGAATAAAATGGAATTAATGTGGAAATGGAATGCTCAGTTCCATTTCCATGTTTGGGTGCAATTAGAGAATGATGTGGGAATGAGCATATTGCAAAGTATTTTTTTTATTCCCACTTAAGTGCAATGTCCGTTCCCTAACACATTGGCAATGGTCATTCGCACATAAAGCGGGAATTGATGAGAAGTGAAATGAGGTTTCTAGCTACCAGGAACACTTCATGTTTGGTACGCATGAATCAGAAGTGGGAATTGACATTGCATTCCCACTCATTCTCGCGTACCACGTGAGGTGTAAGACTTCCAATACTTCATGGTTTACTCTAAAAGTTTTTGAAGGATTCATGATTAAGAGAAAACATTCTATATAAGTGCTAATTTTTTTAGTGGCATTAATGATCATTTTATTCTGATGTTGTGTTTCTTTTGTTAAAATATCTCTAGGACACATCCAAAGGACATAACGAATGTTGCCTTCCATCGATCATACCCTCTATTCGCTTCTTGTTCCGATGACTGTACAGCATATGTATTTCATGGAATGGTGTACTCAGATCTTAACCAGGATCCTCTCATTGTTCCTTTGCTGTACAGCATATGTATTTCATGGAATGGTGTACTCAGATCTTAACCAGGATCCTCTCATTGTTCCTTTGGAGATTCTCCGTGGCCATACATGGAATGGTGTACTCAGATCTTAACCAGGATCCTCTCATTGTTCCTTTGGAGATTCTCCGTGGCCATACATCCTCAAACGGCAGAGGTAACTTCATAACTGTTATCTTTTTTAATGTATTATGTGTTTCTTTTATTAACATTGATGTTGGTTTTAGATTTGAATTAAGAGCATATTATGTCATAGAAGCCTGTCTGAGTGAGCTTGTTTTGCTTATTTTAGAGCATCAAATTCTCAGGTAACTACCAGTACAATGTTCCTTAAGGCCAGCAAGAGAAAGTGTAGGAGTAGGTCATCTTGTATGTCTACTATCTATGTGATTGTCAGGAATCTGCTATGATCCTTTCTAAGCGAAATTAGGATTGAACTCTATCAGGTTCTGCTTCATTGCATATAAAACTGTAGGAACTGAAGTTGCACGGAAGCATCATGGATTTGTCTTCCTTCTCCAGATGGAAAATTTTTTTTTACCCCCCCCCCCCCCCCCTT